CACACCGAAACAGGACAACATCACAAGTGGATTCGGGTGATCCCTCGAAGTGCGAAGGGACAGCCGTCTATCACGTGTTGTCAAGATCACGTGTCGCTTGGGCTTAACAATTAGCTCGAAGCTTCCTCGTTCCCTTTCTCAAGCCCAAATTGTGCTGAGAAACCGAATGCCTCCAGTAACAACCGCAGACCTAAATCACGACTTCTTCGAGCTAATAGCTTCCATCATCGGAACATTGCTTGGTCTCTTAGCCATCATCACCCTTTGCCGCGGACGACAATCAATAGCAGCTTGGATAATCAGGCATTATCAAGCGTTCCAGCATATTCAACAAATTCTACATAACGTAACCCCGGACCTCCCTTTTCATGACATCCCCCCCTCCGTCAGAACGTCCTTCTTCCCGCAAGGGGGACCCGTACCAGAAGCCGGGAATAGCAACCCGGATCTGGGGAGCCTTCACGAGGAGGAGGGATCCCGATACACTATTCGACGAGACGACGGAAACCGCCACCCTGCTCTCACAGGGTTCCGGAACCTGTGGACGACGAACGTCGCTCACGAGCCCGCCGAGGTCTCCAACTACGTCACTCCGGCCAGCTCCCCCGAGCATTCCACCTCCCCGATTCCCTCAGGGGTTGGAAACCGTGCTCGGGACTCCCTCGATGCCGCTCGGATGGCTACGGGACCCCGCAAAAGTCCCGAGCCCCCCCAGAACCCCTCCGAAACCCCCACTGAGCCAAACTCCGGCTCCAGCCCATCCGTCAGCAGGCTGGGGGTCGATAACCCGCGAGGAAGGGATATCCATCCCAACTATGACAACGCCGACATCGCCATCTCCGCGGCAGGGGATCCATATCGGCACCTCCACGTGGGGAGCGAGCCCGAGACTGGAACCGCCAGCGAAAGGGGGAGGGCCGCCACGAGAAGAATTATACAGAGGATATTCCCGGAGTGGGACCTCAACGTCCCCTTCGACTACGATGAAGCAGTCAGACAGCAGCAGCAGAATCAAGAGCGAGAAGAAGCAATCAGGCGAACTCAGGAGGAGCTCGCCGACTATGTCCGAGAGGAAGCCTGAGAGCAGTACGAAGCTGCAGAGTATGACCGACAAGGACGAGCACAGAGAAGGAGAGAAGAAATTGAAAGAATGGGGTCAGCTTCCCCTAGGGAGTATGAGCTCTGAACCGACTCCGGGTCCTCTTTCAAAGAGCCCGACTCAGAGGACGACCCATGGACGGGACCTGCCAGCATCGTCAGCTGGGACGAAGCCATCCGATGTGGAAGAACGGGAGAACCCCAGACCGTCGACCTCGAATACCCCGCCCGTACCGACACTATCTCATCAGACGCCGACTCCGTCCTCGGAGCCTACGGGCTCCGAGTACCCAACAATGCCCACGTCTCCGACAGGGCTCTCCAGCGATTCCTGGGTAGCAGGGTCGCTCGACAGTTCCTTAACCCTGAGTTCCAGCGACTCTTCAGCCGCTATAGCCGAGAACTGGAGGAGACGAGAGCGCGCGGAGGGACGCGCTACAGTCGACTCAGAAGCCCTCCCATCGCCCGGACCAGCGACCGAGGCAACGACGGGCCCAGTACCCAAGTCAACGGAAGGGTCCCCAATGACCCTTCGACCTCTCGTACCATCCATCTACGACCAGCCCGTCAGTTCCCTCCTCGAGGAAGGGGACAGCGGGGCCGAGGGCGACGAGGAGGACGACGAGGACAGTGACAACCCATATCGACAACGGCTGGAATGGGCAGGAGAAGATACAGATGAAGAAGCACTACGGGAGGAAATCGAGAGGGCCAGAGGCAAGGAATATCAGGAGTTATACCAGCAGGGGAGGAACTACTTATGGCAGGACGCGCGCTGGCAAGTGACGTCCTTAGGACTTGAGTACAGGTATGCGGCAGGTACTGAAAAAGAAAAAATTCTACAGTATGCCGCGACAGAATACGCATGGAGGGAATATGGTCGACGACACCCGGAAGACCCCCTCATGCCGATACCCCTGTATCGGCCCGACAATGAACCAAAGGCACCGGCACCAATGCCGCGAACCCCCCCCGTCCCACCCAGACGAGCCGTTTACATCGCCCCCTCTATTCGGAGCTGGGCCGACGACAACCCGTCAGTCCGAAGCACGGCTTCATGGCTTATCCGCACAAGAAATCGACCGGCATGGCAGGCCGCTCAAAACCGAAACCCTTGGACCGGCAAAGGAAGTCGGCTCCTCGGCGGACAACCTCCTCCAGACCAAGCAGAGTCGAGTGGGAAGGACCCCATTCGGGACGATCCCGAGGCGGTCCGCCTCGGTTTCACAATCCGAGATGGGGTGATCGTCCGGGTAACCGATCCGAAAGGAAGCCCAATCGCTGACGACAATTCCCTGCACTCCTTCCCCAGACCACCCACCGAATGGAAGCAACCGCCATTCGACGGATGGCCTAATCCGATGGGGGCACTCCCGCACAATGCCAACATCTTACAATGCCACCCCGACCTCCTTCGAAAACCACGTCCCTTCAAGGGGGTCTCTGACGACATTGACCGATTCCTGGTAGACTGTGAACAGTACTTCGAGGTCTATGTCGGGTACATCGGGACCGACATGAACAAAGTCGCTTTCGCCACCTCCTACTTGGAAGACAAGGCCAAGACATGGTGGATCCTCATCTCCCTGAACTTCCGATCCACCACCAGGGAACACTACCGGTATCCCTCATGGCCGGTCTTTAAGCGCATGCTGAACGACAAATTTATCGATCCTGCCGTTCAAGAAGTGCATAAACAAAAGATTAAGGAGTACAAGATGGGGGATAAAGCGGCCACCGATTACTTCGACGAATTGGAACGACTTGCTAAACTCGCAGGCATCAGGGAAGACATCGCAAACGACGGAAGGATGGTAGAAGCCCTCAAACGGGGAGTTCCATCCTCGTACCTCACGATGATCTCGGCCATGGGCGTCAAAATGCTGATGCCTGTGGGATACGACGAATGGAAGGAAAGAATCATCGAGATGTACAAGGAAAGGCAAAGGCAGAAAGCGGAGGCATCGACCTTGCAGGAATACGGCAAAAAGTCGACACCGCCAATCCCGAACAAGTCAGAGCAAACTGCCGGGAAACCATCAGGAACTCCCACGACGGCAAACTACGGCACTCAGAAGACTGGGACAGGAACCACCTACACCGGTGCAGGGAAGCCAATGGACATTGACCGGATGAAGAAGGAAGGGAAGTGTTTTAACTGCGGACTAAAAGGCCACATGGCCAAGGACTGCCCGAAGAAGAAACGAACCCGTGAAGACATACGAGCGCAGATTGCCGAATTACAGAAGGAAGACGAAGAACTCGGCAAAGAAACAAAGATCGAAGAAGTAAAAGACGGGGCCAGTCAGTGAGCGATTCCACTGAACTGGCCAAAGGACTTAATGGTGTGTCAATAACAGCCGCTAGTCGGACTGATAGTACTCCTGTAGCTACATTCATGTCGCCTCCCGTGCATTCGAATATACCCCAAGTATTCACAAAGAAACACACTATTGAATCGCAAAAAGAAGCTCAACCGCCTACGGGCCGAACAGGGACAGAGAGTCCCACCACGTGGCTCAAACCATTTGATACCGAGTGAATGTGGAGAGCCATCAAAGACGCCAAAGATGAAGCAGCGGCGAAAGCCGTACTTCGGAACTGGATTCATCGGGCAAGGGCCGAAGAAGTGGTCGACGAACTAATTGAAGGAATCAGGAAGGCCGAACGCTGCCATGCCCTCGAGTGGCTAGACGAGCTCCGGGGACCAAAGAAATACATCTTACGAACCAAGACCCCCAGACGAGACCTAACCACAAAAGGACAGATCGAAACGCTAGCCTCTCGAACTACATACCAAGTGACCGCCCTTATCGACAGTGGCTGCACAGGGAGCTCAATCAATCAAGCTTTCGTCGACAAGCATCAGCTCCCAACAAGGGCAACGGCAGCCCCGATACCAGTGTATAATGCCGACGGAACAAAAAATCAGGCCGGCTCCATCACAGAATTCGTCGAACTTAGGTTGACTATCGGAGATCACTCCGAACGAATCGATCTAGCGGTAACAGATCTCAGAACAAAGGAACTCTTCCTTGGCCATGACTGGTTGATCCGCCACAATCTGCTGATCAACTGGAAGACCGGGCGAATTACCTTCGCCAGATGCCGGTGCAGGAAGATCCCATTCGAGTTACCAGATGAGGACCCTGAAGATCGGTGGGACGAGGAGATGGAGGACGGAGAAACCATACTCGCCATAGACCTTCAGAAGGAGATCCACATACGAGCCATCCACCATGCAAACGACCTAGCCGCTAAGGCGAACCAAGGGAAGGACGAGAAGACATTCGAAGAAATGGTACCCAAATGGGCACGAGACTACAAAGACCTCTTCGAAAAGGAGAGCTTTGATGAGTTACCCGCTCCAAAGCCCTGGGATCATGCAATCGAACTAATCCCCAATGCCAGCGCCAACTTGGACTGCAAAACCTATCCCCTTGGTCATCTCGAGCAACAGGAGCTTGACAAGTTCCTAGACGAGAACCTATCGAGTGGCAGAATCCACCCCTCGAAGTCCCCCATGGCCTCTCTCTTCTTCTTCGTCAAAAAGAAGGATGGAAAACTCAGACCGGTCCAAGATTACCGAAAACTCAACGAGATGACCATTAAAAACCGATACCCACTTCCTTTGATATCGGAGCTAATGGACAAGCTCCGAGGTGCCAAATACTACACAAAACTCGACGTACGGTGGGGATATAATAACGTCCAAATCAAGGAGGGAGATGAGTGGAAGGCTGCCTTCCATACCAACCGGGGACTATTCGAACCAACGGTGATGTTCTTCGGGCTCACAAACTCCCTGGCTACCTTCCAATAGATGATGAACGACATTTTCAAGAACCTCATCTCCACCGGAAAAGTAACGATTTACCTCGACGACATCTTAATCATGTCCAAAACAAAAGAGGAGCATCGCAGCCTAGTACGAGAAGTACTAGCCCTCATGAGGAAGCACAAATTATTCCTCAAAGCGGAGAAATGTGAGTTCGAGGTGTTAGAGACAGAATACCTTAGAGTGATCATCAGCGAAGGGAGCATTCGAATGGACCCAGTAAAGGTGGCAGGGGTCACCGAATGGCCAGAACCCAACAAGAAAAAGGAATTACAGTCATTCCTTGGGTTTACCAACTTTTACCGGAGATTCATTCACGACTACAGCAAAATTGTCCGCCCAATGACACAATTAATGGGCAATGCACTCTGGCACTGGGGGCCTTCCCAACAGGATGCCTTCACGGACCTCAAGAGACGACTGGCGGAAGATGTCGTGTTGGCCATCCCAACCCAGGAAGGAAGGTTCAGGGTAGAAGCTGATGCAAGCGAAGGAGCGATAGGGGCCATCCTCTCTCAGGAGCAAAACGGAAAATGGCGACCCGTAGCTTTCCTCTCCAAAGCCCTGACCGTCACTGAACGGAACTATGAAATCTATGACAAGGAATTACTCGCCATCATGCTCGCCTTGGAGGAGTGGCGGCATTACCTTATCGGGGCCGAAGAGGTGTTCGAGATCTGGACAGACCACCAAAACCTATGGTATTTCCGACAGCCCCAGAAACTCAACCGATGACAAGCCCATTGGGTGACGGAGCTCAGTCAATACCAGTACACCCTCCATCATAAGGCAGGGACGGCGAACAAGAAAGCCGACCTACTAAGCCGACGATCCGATCATGACCAAGGAAGCACAGACAATGAAGGGGTAACCCTATTGAAACTGGAGCATTTCCGCGCTATGATAATGCCAACGGAGGAGGAGATACACGAGCGAATCAAGAGCGCGACTCGAGACAATCACAAGTGGGATCAATGGGTCGCCCCTTCACTCAACCATGAGCGAGGAATGACAAAGGAGGGGGGCCTAATCCACTACGACGGATGAATTTATGTCCCTCGAGACCAACAGTTGCGTGGCGAGATCATCACCATTTACCATGATCACATAACGGCCGGACACCTGGGCATTGCCAAAACCAAGGAGCTCGTACTACGAGAATACTGGTGGCCAAAAATGGGGAATGACATAACCGCCTACGTTAAGGCTTGTGAAACTTGCCAACGGGGAAAGTCCTCGACACAAGCGTGAGCGGCACCACTTCATCCCAACGAGGTGCCCTCCACCCCATGGACACACATTTCAGTCGATATGATCACCGGCCTACCCGAATGTAACGGATATGATGCAATCCTCATCATCGTAGACCGATTCTCTAAAGCGATCATTCCAATTTCATGCTCCACGGAATTGAACTCCGAAGGATGGGCCAAAATCCTATGAGATGAGGTGTACGCCAAACATGGAATGCCTCAAGTCATCATCTCAGACAGAGGCCCCCAATTCGTCTCAAAGTTCATCACAGACCTATATCGCATCTTGAACATCAAACAAAACGCATCCACGGCCTATCACCCGCAGACAGATGGACAGACGGAACGCGTCAATCAGGAAATCGAAAAGTACTTACGACTTTTCATCAACTACCGACAGGATGACTGGACTGAATGGCTCGCTCTCGCGGCCTTTCAACATAACAACCGTGTACACTCCGCGACGGGGAAAACCCCATTCTTCGTAAACCATGGTCGTCATCCACACATTATCCAAACAAACCGCATTCGAACAAACACCTCTGCATCAACAAATTTCGCGACAGATATGGAAAAAATTCACCACGAAACAAAGGTAGCCCTGGAAAAGGCAGCAGCAACGATGAAGGGAAACTATGATAAACATCGTCGAGCAAGTCGTGTATACCAACCAAATGACAAAGTTTGGCTGGACACAACGAATCTTCATTTACCACGACCAAAAAAGAAACTCGACGACAAACGCACAGGTCCTTTCACAGTCATAAAAGCCGTTGGAGCAAGCGCATATAAACTACGCTTACCTCAAACCTGGAAAATCCACGACATCTTCAATGAAACATTATTGAATCCATACATCGCACCAGCCTTTCCCAACCAGCAACGACCACCTCCTCCACCGCCAGACTTAATCAACGAAGAAGAACACTTCGAAATCGATCAAGTCTTAAACCACAAACTACGCCGAACCAAAGCGAAAGGCGGAGGAATGACTACAACGGTTGACTACCTAGTCAGCTGGAAGGGATATGGACCCGAATCTAACCAATGGGTCAACGAAAAATACATGAACGCGGAAACGGCCATACACGACTATGAATTATCCCTTAATTAAACCATCGGGACGATGGTCTTAACGAGGGGGTAATGTTACGATTTTTCCTTTTCTCTTATTCTTTGACCCCTATTTATGCTTAGTCATGACACGAGACCA